TTTAGCACATCCTGAGTTTGACTTTTCAGTTGATAAGAAACTGTACTCTTCTTTTTTTCATTAAGAATGAGTAATACACATTTTTTCATTCTGGTCCAGTTCTATTCAACATATGTCATTTTGCTTGGGTCTGATAGTCAAGGGCGAATCAGGTACCATTCTTACCCTTGAAGATCTTACACTCTAATAATCTCTTTATGCCATGTTTCTATCAAGAAAATGGAAGACAGTGGTTAATGTAAGCATAAGTTATTCTGTGAATGTTGTATGTAGTTCTTCAAGGCATTTTCTTTTGACTAGATGTGTTACTGCCTGACCATGTTCACACTTGAAACAGAATTGTTCCCAAGAAACTGGTTAGAGTATTTCTGACTAGTTATCCAGAAAGCTGAATATTTAGCCAGATAGCCAGAATTTTTGAAACCCATTAGTGTGCAAGTCTTTAGATACTATTTGTCTTTCAGAGTTTTCTATGTTTTTAGTAAGTTAGGGCTTTTTAGAGTTTCATCTACAAAGCTTGCAGTTTTAGCTACTTTCCAGTGTACTTGTGGGAAACCATTTACATATAACAAAGAAAGTTGATGTATTGTTAGGTAATGTAACACAGCCTTAAATACAAGGAAATTGTCTATCACACAGGCATTCTTTGGAAATTACAAATTACTTCAAATCTTGAAAAATCAATTCCCAATGTCTCCCACAGTTTGAATTACTAATCTTGTAGATCCTAGTGAGTTTTGTTGTAATGACTTACTTTCATAATCAATCTGAAGGGTAACATATATTCTTAAAACATAGGTAAATTAATTTTTATGGCCAAATTATAGCCTCTCATTGAAGATATTAAATTCAGTCCTAGAATTTTAAAAAACATTGTTTAAAACTTCTTTCTTTAAAAAAACATACTCAATATTCTGAATCAGAATATATGTAAATCTAGGTTTCAGGACAATTAAGAGAACAATTTACATGTCCTGACAATATAGTATAAACTATCCAAGTAAATTCCACAGCAGACCCTGTGGAGGATTCAGAAAGACTGGGTGAAATTTTTTCCTTATCTTTTGAAGGGAATACTAACATTTAAAGGTGTTGTCTGTCCAATTTTGATAACATATCAAAGGGAGTTTTATTCTGAAAATCAGTACCTGATCTCATCTGAATAATATAGGAAGACAGAAATAACTTCATACTATATTATTCATTGCAGTTTTTGTGTTGTCTAAAAAACTGTGTGATAGTTCCTCAATGTCTACTTAAAATAGCACTTGAACAGAAATTCCAATTACGGTATAGCATTTCTGTTTGTGCATGTTTGCTAAACACAGTTTTTACATTTTATACAAACCATGTCTTAGAAGATAGAATTTCCTTTTAATTACATGTGTGGTTGTATTTAAAACAAAGGCAAAAAATAAGTTGGCGAAAAACTACTGAATTATGAGTGGTGAGATAAAGTTTAAGCCATTCTTACTTTGTTTTAAGGTAAATATTTAATTCTTGGCATTATTTATGGTACATGGTGCTTGTCCAAATAATATGGTGTAATTAATTATTTTATAATATGAAAATTTGTAGGAGATAGTATATTAGTTTCCTAGTGCTACTATAACAAATTACCTACAAAGGTAGCATCTTGAAACAACAAAATTTATTTTCCTATAATTCTGGAGGTCAGAAGTCCTAAAATCGAGGTGACCGCAGAGCTATATTATTTCTGTAAGCTCTAGGAGAGAATCTTTTCTGCTCTGTTTTCACAACTTCTCTAACCTGAACCCATAATCCAGGCTAATAACCCCATCTTAAGACTCTTAAATTAATTATTAATTAGATCAGCAGAGTCCCTTTTGACATGTAAGATAACACATTCACAAGCTTTGACGTGGACATTTGGAGAGCCACTCAACACACTCTATAAGTGATAGCACTGTGTTCTAAAAGTAAAGGTTGTTGTAACCCTGCTTCATGTCTGTTATACAACAAATATAGACAGATAGGTTTTCCCTTCTTCAATAGCAGAATATGTTCTCCGCTTAATAACCCAGTTTAGAGGTGTTATATTCCTAAAATACACATTAGTTTTGATTACATGTATTTAAGTTTTAATATCTGCTGGGGGGTAGCTTTGGGATTTGCAAAATAAAATGAATGAGATAAGAAAATATTGATACTCTGGTTCCTGCTATTACTATTAGTAATAAACTTCCCTTTGTCTCTGACTCAGTAGTCTTGTATTTCCTGCCAACATTCATGAAACTGTATTCAGCTAACTTGTTAGCTTACAAGTAGGATAAAATGTGAGACCCATCACAGATCTTGACTTTAGATGTTGCTAATAGTGGCAAATACATTCTTTAAATATACTGAACCTGATTAAGTTCAGATCAACTTCATTCTGTATGTATCTTGTAAATGTATCGTTTATTCTGCACATTCACATCATTTTCCCTGTAGTGTTTCTGAAAGACCACAGAAGTTGCCACAATTGCATACATGGGTTGCTCGGTACCCTACATTTTTTAAAAAGTACAGTAATACTTCCAGCTCATTTAAATCATGATTCACTTTAAAACCTGTGATTCTTATACCTAGAAGATTCTGATTGTATCAGTTAAATGTGAACCATAAAATACAAATTAATTTGTGTTAGTTTTATATCAATGCATTTACAATCGGTAGGTATACTTTTGATTTATCAAAGAGGCAAAAGATTAGAAGTATCTTTTAATACTTTTAATTAGAATAATCTAATAGTGGTATTAATTAAGGTTAGTCTTATCAGCACCTACCTGTAAGATCTTGGGCAAATCAAAATATTTATTTCAGTCTTATTATCAGTTATTAAATGAGGAATTGAGCAGAGATAATGTAGTTTCCTTTTAGTTGAGCGATTTCATTCATTTATTTTCATTATTTTGTTTTTATTGATACAGTTGTTTTAAGGCTGATAACCACTTAAGTGCTTTCCATAAATTCTGATATATTTTCTTATTTGTCAGACATATCTGTTTATATTTTTCTATCCCCAAGAGTTCTTTAATTGAGGTGTTTTTATTTATTTGTTTTATTTCCAATTGGAAGAACCTTTTTGATTTTTGTTCTTTACTGGTTGGTTGGTTGGTTGGTTGTTTTTTTTTTTTTTAGTTCCTACTTTTTCATTGTGATCGCGGAGTATTGCTTGTAATGTTTTTCTTGATAGAACTTTTTTGACTTAATAGGTGACAATTTTTTGTGAATGTTTCATGTGTATTTGAGAAGAAGATATAATTTATATATTGTATATTTGAGTATAATATTCTAAACAAATCTATAAGACATATATCTTATTAATTGGGTTGTTAAGTTCTTTTAATTCTTTTTTTCCTATTTTGAACTTTCTTAAACTGGAAGTGGTATTCTGAATCTCCTGTTAGTAGTGTTTCTGTTTCACCTTTATTTCTTGTTTCTCCTTAATATAATAAGTTTCTGTGTTTTATTTGATGCATAATCATAAGTATTATCTTTTTTTTTCTTGTTAAATTTTTTTCCTTTGCCTATTCTTTGGTACATTATCTCAACATCTTTCTAATTGTTTCTATTTGTCTGGTATATCTTTGCCCATTGCTTTAGATTTGGCCTTTTCTAATAACTTTTCTTTATGTCTCTAGTATATACAACATATAGTTAGGTTTTACTTTGTACTCCAATTTGAAAATTTTTCTTCTAATAAACCCACTAAACTAACCCATATTCAGTTGTTTTTCTGGTGCTTACTCTCAATTCTGTCATATTTTCCTTCCAAATTACTGAATATTCTATGTTGTATTTACTGTTTATTTCTTCACTTAATGTATCTTCTTTGTGGTTTTCAAAAAATTTCTTTTAGTATTTGGAAAGGTCTATGCTTTCTTTCCATGGCTACCATTGTGTTTATCTCTTACAATGCCTTTACTTTCCTATTTTCTCATGTAATCTATTATTTTCTAGTCTGTCCATTTTAAATGGTAGCCTTTGACTCCTGCCTATTTGCCTAACCTAGATAATAGTCAGTGATTTTTTTTTTTTTTTAAGATAGCAAGGTTTATTGAGGGGACAGAAAAGCTTCCATGGTGTAAGGGGACCCAAAGAAGTTGCTAGTAGTCAGTGATCTTATTATTTCCCCTCTCCACTGTACTTTTTTTAGTTGCAGTTTTTTCTACTTAACAGAAATATATAAAACTTATTTACCAGTCTTCTTCCTAAACCCCACCCTTATCTTAATCCTAGTTCTGCAAATTGATATAATACTAAACATCAGTTCTTGTATCTGAATTATCCCTCTCTAGGTGAAGCTCCTCTTCTGGAAGATTCCTCTAGAGAGGGACATGTGTACAATATTCCCTGAATTCTTGCAGGTTCACATCTGTTTCTCTATAGATATTTGAAGAACTCCTTGACTGAATATAAAATCCTTGACTTACAGTTGCTTGTATTGAGTTCCTTGGAAATATCGCTCTGTAGTTGCTTTAAATTTTGTTCTTAGGAAGATTCGCTCTTAAAGTCATTTTGCTGTAGCTTTTTTAGTAAAATGAGAATTTTCTTTGTGTGGTCAGAGTTATTTTCTAAAAATTAAGATTTTATTTAATATTATGTTTCTTTTTTTTTTTTTTTGAGTTGGAGTCTCACTCTGTCGCCCAGACTGGAGTGCAGTGGCCGCTCCCAGCTACCGCAGCCTCGACCTGCTGTGCTCCGGCGATCCTTCCGCTTCTGCCTTCCAAGTAGCTGGAACTACAGGCGCGCACTACCATGCCCAGCTGATTTTTTGATTTATTGTAGAGATGAGGTCTCGCTGCCCAGGTGGGTCTCGAACCCGTGGGCTCAGGCAATCCACTCACCTCAGCCTCCCAAAGGCGCAGGATTACAGGCTGAGCCACCGAGCCTGGCAATATTATGTTTCTTAAAGCAAGACGGGGAAGAAACTTAACTCAGTTATAATGACTATTTAAAATTAGACTCTAAAATAAATTTTTTTTCCCCCACAGGAATTGAAACCTGATGTAGTAACTAGATCTGCTCTTGGTGACGATATCAACTTTGAAAAAGTCTGCAAAAAGGTATATCTGCAATGGATTGTATTTGTTTTATAAAAAGTTCCTTATTTATGTTGCTTTTTTCTTGGTACTTTTTTCCTTGAAGAGAAAACATGTCAAGAAGTCAGTTACTGTTAGTTTATAATGATTTTTCCTTACTTAGCTCCAGTGTTACCACTGAAAAATATTTTTATAGGAATTAATGAATTTTGCTTTGCTGTGATATCGAAGGTTCTAAAAGATATGTTGAACTTAATATGGCATTTCATGTATTGTATAACAGTCTGTTAATCTTACTATTTAGAACTAAGAATCCTTATTATTATTCTTTCTAAATAATTCTCTTGAATAACTCCTTTAATCTCTGCATTCATCCTGTGAAAGATTTCACTTTATGCCCTTTATACAAATGAGGGAAGTGGAACTAAAAAAATAATGCTGATTAAGGATATAGCACTGTTATGTGGCACAGTCAGAATGTTTTACCAGATATTCTACTCTTTGGATTTACCACTTCTGCTTCTTCCTGTATCCCCTTTTTCTTTCCCACCCACTTTGCTCCACTTGAGAACACATTTTATATTAACTGATTTTTCTTTAATGCTTTTCTGTTTTCACTTTCATTGATTTTTGCTCTAATCCACATTTTTCCAACTTTTTGCTTTGTATTTAATTTGTTCTTTTTCTAGATTCTTAATGTGAAAGTTTATAATACTTATTTTAGACCTTTCTTTTCTAATATAAGAATTTAGTGTTGTAAATTTTCCTCTTCACACTAGTTTAGCTGCATCACATATATTATGATATGTTTTATATATGTATGTATGTATATATATATATACTTTTTTTTAGTTTAAAATGTTTTTAATTACCCTCAAATTGCCTTTCTGACACATAGTCTAATTAGCAATGTTTAATTTCCAAATAGTTGGGAGTTTCTCACGTATCTTTGGCTATTTTTTGTTTGTTTATATGTTTAATTCCCTTATGATCCAGACATACTTATTATGGTTTCTGTTCTTTTAAATGTTCTTAATATTTGTGTTATAGTCCCCAATATGGCATATATTGGTAAATATTTTATGTATACTCTTGAGAACAATATCTTTTAGATATTCAGTAGAGTTTAGTCTTCTGTAAATATTAGGTCAAATTGGTTGATGGTGTTCAAGTGATCTATATCTTTACTAATATTTTTCTGCCTACATTACTGATTATTAAGAGAGGTATGCTGATATCTCCAACTATAAATTTCAGTTTGCCTATTTGATCTTTCAGTGTTACCAGTTTTGGCTTTATTTTTGAAATATGTGTGCTAGGTACATAGACTTATTTAATGTCTTCTTGAGGAATTAACCCTTTATCATTATGTGATGGCCCTTGTTTTCCCTGATATTTCTTGTGCTGAAATCTACCTTGTATAAAATTTATATAGATCCTTTTTTTTTTAAGATGTGGTGTACAATTCAGGGTTAGGTACTTAAGTGCTCATAGTACAGGTAAAGTTCGGTACTCTTATTGATGTTATGTGCCTCTCCCTCCTCTTCTCCCTCCCTCTCCCAGCGGTGTCCCACTACTGCCAATTCCTTTCTTGTAGATAATATTCTATAAGATAAATGATAAATGTTCAGGGTCCATTTATGAGTGAGTACATGTAGTACTCAGATCTTTGTTTCTGGGATAAGTCACTGATTATAATAGATTCTAATTCCATTCAAGTTGCTGCTAATTTCATAATTTTTTTTTCTTTATGGCTGCATAATATTCCGTTGTATATAAATGTACTACATTTTCACATTTTCTTTATCCAGTCCACATTAGATGGACAAAACAGTTGTTTCCATGTTTTTGCTATTGTGAATAATGTTCAATAAACATGCGTGTGCAGCTATCTTTTTTGTGGAGTGATTTGAGTTCCTCTACCCAGAAGGGGGATTCCTAGGTCATATGGAAGGTCAACTTTTAGATCTTTTAGAAATCACCACAGTGTTTTCCACAGACGTTATGTCAGTTTACACTCCCACCAACAGTATAGAAGTGTTCCCTTTTCTCCTCATCCTCTCTAGCATCTGTTGTTTTTCTAGTTATTGATGATGGCCATCCTAACTGGAATAGAGTGGTATTTCAGTGTGGCTTCAATTTGCATTTCTTTGATGATTAGTGAGGCTGAGCATTTATTCATGTATCTGTTGGCTGTTCATGTATCTTCTTCTGAGAAGTGTCTATTCATATCCTTAAGCCATTTTTTAATAGGGTTATTTTTGTTTTTTGTTTTTCCGTATGCTTGTAGATCCTGAACGTTAGTTAGGCCTTTGTCAGATTTACAGATGACAAATATTTTTTCCCATTCTGAGGACTATCTCCCTGCTCTCTTGATGGTTTCTTTTGCTTTGCAGAAGATTTTCAGTTTATGAGGTCCCATTTATCTATTTTATCTTTTATGGCATTCACTTTTGGATAGCTGCTCAGGAATTGGTTGCCTATTCCAATTTCCATAAGGGTGTTTCCTGCATTTTCTGCTACGATTCTTATAGTTTGAGGTTTTGCATTTAAGCTTTTGATCCATTTAGAGTTGATTTTTGTGTATGGGATGGCTAGAGGTCCCATTTCAATCTCTTGCATGTGGTCAGCCAGTTTTCCCAGCACCATTCACAGAATAGGTTTCCCTTTCCCCAGAGGTTGTTGGTGAAGATTTTGCTTCTAGAATCTCTATCCTGTTCCATTGGTCTGTATGCCTGTTCTTGTACCAATACCAAGCTGTTTTGATTATTGTAGCTTTGTAGTAGAGTTTGAAGTCAGGAAGTGTGATACTTCCCACGTTGTTTCTTTTGCTAAGGATTGTTTTGACTATTCATGGTCTTTTATGCCTTCATATAAATTTCTGTATTGTTGTTTCCAGGTCTAAGAAGAATGATGCCAGTAATTTAATAGGTATTGCATTAAATCTGTAGATTTCCTTTGGTGGGATGGATATCTTAACAATTTTAATTCTTCCAATTCATGAGCATGGAATGTTTTTCCATTTGTTTGTGTCTTATTTGATATCTTTGAGCAGTATTTTGTAGTTTTTATTGTAAAGGTCTTTCACTTCTCTGGTTAGGAAGATGCCAAGGTATTTCATGTTCTTTGTGGCTATTGAGAATAGGATTGTGCTTTTTATTTGGGTTTCTGTCTTATTGTTGGTGTATAAGAATGTGATTGTCTTTTGCATGTTTATTTTACACCCTTAGATTTTGCCAAAGTCCTTTATCAGTGCAAGGAGGTTTTTGACAGAGTCTCTTGGGTTTTCAAGGTATAGGAACATATCGTCCTCAAAGAGAGATAACATAACTTCCTTTTTCCTGTTTGGATACCCTTGATTTCCTTCTCTTTTCTGATTGTTCTACCTAGGATATCCAATACAATGTTGAACAGGAGGTGTGAGAGTGGGCAGCCTTGTCTTTTTCGATTTTCAGGGGAAATGGTTCCAACTTCTGTCTGTTTAGCGGTATGTTGGCTGTGAGTCTATTGTAGATGGCTCTTAATATTTTGATGTATGCCTAGGTGTTCAAGGGTTTTGATCAAGAGGTGATGCTGGATTTTAGCAAAAGCTTTTTTTCTGTGTCTAACGATATAATCATTTGGTCCTTGTTTTTACATATGTTAAGGTATTTAATTAACGTTTATGGTCTTGTGGATATTGAACCAGCCCTGCATCACAGGGATGAAGAAGCCTACTTGGTGATGGTGGATGATTTTTGAGATGTGTTGTTGGATCCGGGTTGCTAAAATCTTGTTGAGAATTTTTGCATCTGTGTTCGTCAAGGATATTGGCCTATAGTTCTTTTTCTTTGTTAGATCTTTGGCTGGTTGGGTATCACTGTGATGTTATCTTTATCAAATGAATTGGGGAAAGTTCCGTCTTTCTCAGTTGCCTGGGATACTTTCAGTAGGATTGGTATCAGCTCCTCTTTGTATGTTTTGTAGATTTCTACTGTCTGATTCAGGGATTTTTTTTTTTCTTTTTTTTTTTTTTTTTGTGCGTAGTTTTCTTATGACAAAGTCAATATCCTGGGTTGTTATGGGTCTACTTAGGGTCCCAGTTCTTCTTGTTTCAACCTTGGGAGGTTGTGTGATGTCAGAAAGTCCTCTATTTCATTTAGGTTTTCAAGTTTGTTTTCATACAAGTGTACATAGTATACTCTGATAATCTTTTGTATTTTTGGGGGTCAATTGTGACTTGAACTTTTGCATTTCTAATTGTGTTTATTTGGGTTTTTTCTCTCTTTTTCTTGGTCATTCTGGCTAGGAATCCATAAATCTTGTTTATCTTTTGAAAGAACCAGCTTTTTGTTTTGAATTTTTTTTTTTTTCTGTTATATTATCTTTTGTGTCCTGCATTTGGACTTTTATTTTGGTGATCTGGATTCTTCTGCTGAAGTTAGGGTTTGGGTGGTCTTGTCTTTTCAGCTCCTTTAGGTATTTTTTAGGCTTTTAACTTGTGATCTTTCCATTTTCTTAAGGTGTGTTTGTAGAGATATAAATTCCCTTCTTACTACTGGTTACATGGCATCCCAGAGTTCTGGTAAGATGTTTCTTCATTTTCATGTTTCCAGGAAATTGTAATTCTGTTTTGATTTCTGTGTTGACCCAGGATTGTTCAGCATTATGCTATTTAGTGTCTATGTCTTTGTAGGTTTTGGGGAAACTTTATTGGTGTTGATATTTATTCTTATTCCACTATGGTCTGAGAAGGTGCATGGCAATATGTCAATCTTATGAAACCTGTTTATGCTTGATTTATGGTCAAGGATATGGTGTATAGTCAATCTTGGAGTATATTCCATGTGGTGATGAGAGTTGAATATATATTCTGTGGTTGTTGGGTAAAGTGTTCTGTAAGTATCTATTAAGTCCATTTGGTCGTGTGTCAAGTTGAGGTCCAGATCTCCTTGTTGGTTTTTTGCCTCAATGATCTATCTAGGGTTGTTAGTGGGGTATTTAAGTCCCCAGCTATGATAGTGTTAGACTCAGTATCTTTTAGT